TGGCTCAGGTGGTAGAGTGCTAGCCTTGAGCTGAAGAGCTCAGGGACAGTGCCTAGGCCCAGAGTTCAAGCCCCATGACTGGGGGAGGGGAGGGGACATAGGCACAAAGGTCTTTAAAAGCTAACTTGGGAAAGATAGGTTTGCCAATGCTGAATGTAATCAGAGCTGGCCACCAAGTGTTAGAAAGAAAACAAGTTTTTGTTTCAATCTGAGGCATGCAAATGTTAACAGGAAGCTTCACTATGAAACAAACACTGACTTAGTATTTCACACGTATTAAATCACTTAAGCCTCCTCTCTTTATTGATGGTGTAGGTGCTGAAGTATCAGCATTTTTCAGGAAGATGATGATGGTTCCATGGGTAGAAGGGTACAGTCAGGATTCTCAAGTTGGGCAGTTGGCACCAGAGCCATGGCTGAGCATCTCTCTACTATGCAGTCCCTCACACTCTTAATGCTGCAGAACTACCCAGGCAAACATCAGATTTGTCACATATTCATTGGAACTCCAAGGTACAGTCTCATTTACCTTACCTGTGTTTTCAGTTTTATGTATTTAAAATGTGGATTCTAATTTTATTTTTATTTTGTGCTGTTCATGGGACTTGAACACAGGGGCTGGGTGGTATCCCTGAGCTTTTTTTTTTTTTGCTCAAGGTTATCTTTCTACTACTTGAGTCACAGCTCCACTTCCAGCTTTTTGGTGGTTAACTGGACATAGACTTTCCTGCCTGGACTGGCTTTGAACTGCAATCCTCAGATCTCAGCCTCCTGGTTAGCTAGGATTTTAGGTGTGAGCCATGGTAACCAGCCTAATTTTTAAAACTCACTTGGAGTTAACCTCTGTTTTCTATACCATATTTCCCAGTCAACACAGAAGAGGGCACACAGGGAGAAGGCCTGCTATTAGAGTGTGAAGAGTAGGCTCTAAAATAGAGGGAAAAAAATCTATTTTTCTTTTCTTCTGGCTGCTCTTTTATATCTCAACCCCAAGCAATGCTGCAGTGGTAGTGGCAGTGTCCTTGAAATGAGGAATGGTAAGATCCCACCCTTTTGGTAGGGAATCTTCCTGTCTGTTCATTGGGATGGCAGTTCTGGCGGGGAGGGAAAACCCTAGTAGTTTTGCTTTTTCTTATACCACTTTGTCCCTCATGTGAGTATGGTTTCAGGAAGAGCATGACTCCAGTTTTTAGCTGAAATACTAAAATGAATGGAAATATGTCAGCCAAGATTTTTTTGGGAGGAATAATAGTGGGGTTTTGAACTCAGGGCCTTGTACTTGTGCCATGTTCCAATGCTTTTTTGCTTTAGTTATTCGGAGGTAGATGGTTTTTCCTGGAGCCTGCCTGAGACCACAGTGCTCCTACATATGGTCCCCTGGCTCATAGCTGGGATCATAGAAGCATATCACCATTCTCTGCTTATGGTTGAGAAGGGTCCTTCAAACTAACATGCTTCTTATCTCTTAACTCCCAAGTAGCTAGGATTATGAGCCAAGTGCTATCTATCTATCTATCCATCTATCTATCTCTCTTTGAGATAGGGTCTCGATATGTAGTTCAGGCTGCCCTCAAGTTTATAATCCTCTTGGCCCTACCTCTCTAGAGCTAAGATTTTATATATATATATATATATATATATATATACATATATATATATACATATATATATGTATATATATATATATATGCGCACTACTATTTTGGCTTCATAGGAACTTCAAAAAAATTTTTTTTTGTCAATACTGAGGTTTGAACTTAGGGTTTCATATATGCTAGGCAAGTACTCTACTATTTGAGTCATGCCTCCAGTTTCAGCTTTTTACTAGTTAAATGGAGATAAGAGTCTCTTAGATTTGTCTTCCTGGGCTAGCTTCAACCATGAGCTCAGATCTCAGTCTCTTGATTAGCTAGGATTACAAGTATAAGCCACTGGTGCCTATGTTAGGTATCACTTTTTGCCCAGGCCAGTCTGGATCTTGATTCTATTTATGCCTCCCACCTTAGCTGAGAGGTCAGGTACACACTAGGTACATACTACCACACCCAGGCTTTTCTGTTGAGATGGGTCCTGTGAATTTGCTCTGCTCAGGTTGGCCTGGAATCATTATCCTTCCAATCTGAGCCTCTTGCATACCTGGAAGACCAGCACAGAGTGAGCCCTCATGTCTAGCTATATGAAATAGAATATCATGAACTTTTTGTCCATGATGGCTTCAACCACAATCCTCCTGATCTCCACTTCCAAAGTGGCCTATAGGTGTGCTCAATAAAAGGTTTCTTTAATGCTTATTAGAAACTTCTGAATGTTGTTACCTGCTATTATCACAGTGGATCTTTACTAAAGACAGGCCAAAAGTAGCATGTTTGGGATGCAAATACTTAAAACTCTGATCCAAAGTATATAGTATATGATACAGTTTACCTGATATCCACGGACAAGAGTAGTCTGCAATTCTTTTAAAATATATTGTAGGAAGTGCACACCCAAATCCTCTATTATTTTGGAGAGAGTGCTGCGAGCAATGTCTCTGATTTCTTGTGCTCTGTTCTTGAGGAGGGCACACACTTTCAACAAAATACTAAAAAAAATGCAAAGTTGAAAAATAATTACATATAAACAGAAACAAATAAAAACACAAACATCCTTTTTCTTATAAGTATTTAGAACCCTAATTTCCCCATTAGCAAACTGCAGCTGTCCTTCTTTTAATGGAAGAGATTCAAAAGCCAGGAAGAAGAGATGTAATTTGGGAGTTTTACTGTGCATGTCACATGACGAACCTTGGCAGATTCGCCTCCATCACTTCTCGAGGCAGGGAATGCATCAGCTTCACCATGGCAAAAGCTAAAGGAACTCGAACCACTTCCTCGTCATTCACCACCTTTGACTTCACCAGCTTGTGTTCTTCTTCCCTTTTTGTCTATAACCAAAATTAAGGGAAAAGTGAAACCGAAGGACCAGGGATCTGCCAACACTGCAATCTTATATCTGAAAGACAAGCTCTTTTCTAGTTTAAGTCTATTGCTGGTTTACTGTCTTTAAGAAACTCAATTGTGGGCGGGCAATGTGGCTCAGTGGTAGAGCGCTTGCCTTGCATGCATGAGGCCCTGGTTCGATTCCTCAGCACCACGTAAGCAGAAAAAGTCAGAAGTGGCACTGTGGCTCAAGTGGGAGAGTGCTACCTTGAGATGAAGAGCTGAGGGACAGTGCCCAGGCCCACAACAGACAAAAAAAAAAAAAAAACCCCAAAAACAAAAAAACTCAATTGGGCAACTGGAAAATAATTTGCTTAAGATTACAAAAATAATCAGAATAAAAATATCCTGTTTAAGTTGGGCACGTGACACATTTCTATAATACTACTGCTTGGGAGGCTGAGGAAGGAAAAAAAAAAGCCACATTTCCACTGACGTGCTGTGCAGTATATGAAAGTCACATAAACCTGTGTATGGTGGCTCAGTCCTGGGAGGCAATGATCAGGGTACCTTGATTCAAGCCCAGTCTCGGTAAACATGTTTAGGAGACTCCATGTCAACAATGGCTGGACACAGTGGGGAATACCTGCCATCCCAGCAACACAGGGAAGCATAATGGCTAGGTGCAATGGCATGTACCTATCATCATCCCCAGGCACACAGGGAAGCATGAGAAGGACAGAAGCCCAGGGTGGCCTAAGCATAAAGCAAGACTCTATCTGGGGGAAAAAAATCCAATGTAAGCTGGGTACTGGTAGCACAAGCTTGTATCCTAGCTATTCAGGAGGCTGAGATCTGGATGGCTATGGTTCAAGAGCAGTCCAGGAAGAAATGCTCACTAGACTCCTTCTCCAAAATAATTAGAAAAGACATGGGTCAAATAGAGTGCTAGCCTAAACAAGTGCAATGCCCAAACAAACTTCAACCTCTGGAACTACCCCGTCCCCCAACAATGATAACAACAAAGTATCACATAAGACACATCTTTGGTTAGAATTTTCAAGGATTTGAGTAGCATTGTTTCTTTGTTTTTTTTCTTGTCAGTTGTGGGGCTTGAACTTGGGCCTGGGAGCTGTCCTTATGCTGCTTTGCGCTCAAGGCTAGTGCTCTACCACTTTAGCCACAGCACCACTTCTGGATTTTGAGTGGTTAATTGGCAATAAGAGTCTCATGGGGAATTTTCAGCCCTGACTGGCTTTGAATCACGATCCTCAGATCTCAGCTTCCTGAGTAGCTAGGATTACAGGCGCGAGCCACCAGTACCTGGCTTTGAATAGCATTGTTGATACATAAAAATAGGGCATCTCAAATAAAGCCTTATTTATCAATATAAAAAACTGACTGAGGTTGGGCTGGGAAGGTGGCTCAGTGGTAGAGCGCTTGCCTTACATGCCTGAGGCCCTGGGTTCGATTCCTCAGCACCACATAAGCAAAAAGAAAAAAGCCGGAAGTGGCGTTGTGGCTCAAGTGGTAGGGCGCTGGCCTTGAGCTGAAGAGCTGAGAGACAGCACCCAGGCCCAGAGTTCAGGCCCAACGACCGGACCTCCAAAAAAAAAAAAACTGACTGAGGGGCTGGGAAGGTAGCTCAGTGGTAGAGTGCTTGCCTTGCATGCCTGAGGCTCTGGGTTCGACTCGTCAGAACCACATAAGCAAAAAGAAAAAAGCCAGAAGTGGCGTTGTGGCTCAAGTGGTAGAGCGCTAGCCTTGAGCTGAAGAGCTGAGGGACAAC